TTCAAATCTACATGTTGGAAAATCCTTTATTTGCAGTAAATGCAGTCTTATGCATTGCATAACTTGAACATTGCATTTGCATACCATTGTTTAAACTAGCATTTTGAAAAGCTCAGCTATAGGGAGGCGTGTTGTCACTAGATACCATGGTAGTGAATTACATCGCTGGGAAGTGCTATTTTTGTTGCTTGGGCCGCTGGCAATAACATCTTTTTTTGAGCAGCTCCCACTTCCTTTGTTACCTCTGGCATGTGTGTTGTTGCAAAACCTTATGTTCCTCTTGCTCCTCAACCAGCCATGCTGCAACATGGCTCACCATACTTACGATCCCTGTCTAGTGCACTTTCTTTCTGTTTTCCTTGCAGCTACAAAGCTGTTAACAATTTCCTAATTGCTGGCTCCTTTCGGTGACCCAAAAGACCTGGGCCAGGGGAGCCGCCTGGAGATCTGCAGCAAAATGTATTCCTTCTACAGTGCAAAAACAAGGTTCTCTGAGGAAAGAGTCCCTGCAATTTTAGGAGCGGGAGCTGGTCCATGGGGTCGCAAAGAGTCGGACTCGACTGTGCGACTGCACAACAACAACATATTAAGAGCCCTTAGGGTAGGGTTGCCAGCTCTGGGTTGGGAACTACCTGGAGATTTTAGGGGTGGAGGCTGAGGAGGGCAGGGTTTGGGGAGGAGGGGGACATCAGTGCCATAGAGTCCACCTTCCAAAGTGACCATTTTTCTTTCACGTGAACTGCTCTCTGTCGCCTAGAGATCAGCTGTACTCCCAGGAGATCTCCAGCTACCGCCTGGAGGTTGGCAACCTTCTTAGGTTGTTATGTAATTGTTACTGAGTTTAAGTAATTTGGCATTCAATATTTTCTCTGTGTTTCTGTACGGAATCTTTCATCTTTGGTCGGGCCGCCTTTCAGTAGAGTGTGAACATGAGGTTTGTACTGTTCCACCCGCCGGCAGCTCCCAAGAGTCAATGCCTGCCTTGGTATTGACCACGAAGAAGGCTTTTCATTCTCTAAAATAAAACTCACTCTAGAGGGGTTGCCCTGTTTGTTTGTGGAAGCCCAAACAAAAAGAAAGCTGTGTGGCTTCTTAAAGACTTTATTAGCACCTTAAAGACTAACAAAATATGTGGCAGGGTATGAGCTTTCTTGAGTTACTAACACGGCTACCCATCTTGATCTAGCAAGTTTATTGTAGCATAAACTTTTGTAGGCATGGGTCCACACATCTGACAAAGTGGGCTTAACCTCATGAAAGCTGATGCAGCAATGAATGCGTGTTAGTTTTTAATGTGCTAGGAGACTCTTCTAAATTTTCTTTAGTGACTCTTTACATTCTGTGATTTCTGGGTTCTGCAAAATATGAGCCCCTCCCAGAATCTAAAGATTCCTGAAGCTTCCATGGTACAACACTAAACGTATGGTGTCTTTATATCATGTCAAAAATTTCCCTGTTGAAATTTACCATCAGTACAGCCTTATTTTATGTTCTTTGTACATTACCTGGGGTGGGGGGGTCAGATGTTTGGTAGCTAAGATGTGACTTTTAGAAGTTGTGGACCTGATTTTCCAAAGTTAGCCAGGGTCAAAGATAGCTTTGGCTGGGATCGCAGAGTCTTCTTAGCATATTTCCTGCTTGTTAAAAAATGCCTCCTGTATCTTTCATGAAACAGTTATGTTGTTGTCTATCTCTTCCCCTTTTCCTGAACTAAGAGGGAAATTGTTCCTGCAGAACAGCTGCTCGAAATGGGAAAAATAACCTTTGCGTAATAAAATCCTCCTTATCTGGCCATGAATTTGCTTCCTTCCTTCCAGGCAGATTGTGTGCTACTTCTAGCTTCCTGTCTCTCTGGGGGTTTCATCCCCTCAAAAATAAGATTAATTCTGAGCAGCCATCAGACTTCACAGAAGGCAATCCTTTATTCAGCACACAGAAGATTTCTCCTTCTTTTCCCCTATGCAATTTTGAAAAGATTGGGCAGGAAACAGGACCTTGTGGGTGCAAACTGGTCCTGGCTATCCTTGATATATGCAAAAAAAGTTCTGTTAGTCTGCAAGGGAGATGCAGGTAGCTCAGTGAAGAGAGAATAATTCTGTAAATGAAGCACACATGAAGCAGAAATTTCCACTGTTGTTAATTGTAGTAGATGAGCTTCTGTGATTGGAAGGAGGCAATAGCCCTCCCTTTTCCTTGCCCTCTGGCCAAGATGCACTTTGTTAAATTGGGGCCGTCACAACTGTTTTGCTTTTGTCTCTCCCCCCCCCTTTTGAAATGAGCACACAAAAGATTGATAAATGAGAAGAACAATCTCAACCTGCTGTAAAAAAACGTAGGCACTTACAAAAAAATGTCTAGCAACCTCTATTCTTTTTGGAAGACGGCTGAGCAAGGACTTGTGTGCAGTGAAAGTCTGTAAAGAGAAGTGATGCAAGTTGCTCAGGAGTTGTCTTTTTTACAGGTGTGATTATTGTTAAGCCCCAGGTATGTCTTTAGAAGTTCTGTAATGTCTGTGTGGCAGAAATCCACTGTTAGGGGCAGGAGAGGAATAATTTGTTTTACCCAACTTTCACCCAAATTTACCTGAATACTACTGGCCTGCACCCATTCCCAAAGTCTGAAGATTTAATTGAGCTTAAGTTTTCTTGAGAGACGTGTGGCAATTTCAGCCAGTTCCCCTTTCTGAGGGTCAGGAACAAATTTCAGGGGCCTCAGATGAAGTCATGCCCCCATTTTAAGTGCCCATAATCTTTGGAAGTGTGTGCTTGGATACAATCCATTATTTTTAAGCGATTTCCTTTTTAGCTTAGAGACTATGCTCTGTCAAGAGTGATATTAAACTTTGTTCTCTCAGTCCCATAGCTCTGGTGCACACATGAAATTTGAAAGTGAATACAGGATTTAGCTGCGAACAAGAAGTTCCTGTCATCAAGAATGTTAGGGAATGTGTGTTAGGAAATGTGCAGCATATCCAGCATAGTAAGCGTTCCTTGCCAGGAATTTATATGTGCCCTCCATTCCTTTTGATCACTATCTAGAGATGCTAGCCTTCAGGTGGGACCTGGGGATTACAGCTCATCTCCAGAATACAAGGATCTGTTCTCCTGGAGAAAACGGATGTTTAGGAGGGTGGACTCTATGGCATTGTCCCTCACTGAGGTCCCCGTCCTCCCCAGGCACCATCCCCCAGATCTCCAGTTTGCAACCTTCATTCAGCTCAAGGTTGGCTGCTGTGCTCCAGCCATGATCTCCTGTGGCTCTTTCCCCCGGCTTGGAAACCAGGCTCAGGACTGAGGTCCCCCTCCTCCCCAGGCTTCGTCCCCACATCTCCTGGAGTTTCCCAACCTGGAGTTGGCAGCCCTACCCCCCCCCATCCCCCGCTGCGAGCCAGGGGAGGCCTGGCAACACTATCAGCGTCCTCGGTTGCCGTTCATGCAGTAGAGAGAGAGATGTATGTATATGCAGAAATGCTTGAATTCGGGGCTTTCAGCATTTTCCTCAGCTGTGTATTTGTTGCAGGGGAAAATATCTTTTTGGTGGCCTCAGTGATCACACTTGTCCCATGTTCGTGCACAACTGTTATCCAACCACCTGTGGACTTTACGGGCTTTCCCATTTTGCCCTCCCATTGCAGTCCATCAGACTCCACCACATTTTGTTTCTGGGAGTTTGTAGACCCTTCAGGAACAGCACCAGGGCAAAGTGGGGGTCTGCGGGGGGAGGTGGGAATCAGAAATCACTGCTCCATCGGCCAAAGATTTGCCAAGTGTGTGCCTTAGATACACATCGGATACCTTTACAGTCTGCCCGAAGCTCGGGATTGGCTGCTGTGCTTCAGCCACGCTCACCAGCAACCTTACAAAGGATTCAGTCCCAGGGAACTCAGTGGCTCTTTTCCTGCTTAGGAAGCCGGCTCAGGATCGTGCTGCCCTTTGTGTCTCTTGGCTGACCGGAATATAAACTAGCCACGCTTAGCTTCTGTCTCTGCCTCCCTTTTCCTCTCATGCTGGTTAGATGATTGTTGGGCCTTAGCATTATTTTGTCACACACATTAATTCAATTATAGCTGTCTCTCCACACACATGGCATAATATGTTTTTAGGCTATGAACTAATATGTTTTAGGCAATGAACTCCAAAGCTTCCATTAAAATAAAGATTCCATTAAAAAGTCCATCCATTTATAAACTACAATGAACTCCAAAGCTTTTACTGGGTGCGTCTTATCATTCCATTAAAAAGTCCATCCATTTATAATACAGTAAGACCGTTACAGGCACTTACAAAGTGGCAGTGTTTTTAAAACTGTGGAGACTGTGCTAATGAAAACATCTGTTTGCTTTTACATTATAAATTCTGTCTTGGACTCTGTTCACTTTATTCTCACACATAAATTGGGAAGAAAACCAGAATAATAATGTGCTCTCAAAGAAGATCGCAAAGAAGAATTAAAAGAAAATGCAGATTTGATGAAGAGTGCACCCCACTGCCTTCCTTTAAATCAACTGTAACCTGCACAGTTAGAGGCACCTATCTTATTTCTTTCCCTGTATGCATGATCCTATTGTCTGGTGGCTTGGTACTGGATGTACACCAATACAAAGCATGGTAGTGATGTCTGACCAAGAAGGCCTGACTTAAAATTACAGCTTGGATATGCCATGACCTCCTGAAGGCCGACTGACCATAATGGTGCCCTTCACGCATCTTCTGGCCGGCCATTCCACAGGGTTGGGACAGCAACAAACAGGGCTCGGGAATGAACTGCCACTAAAGGTGGCAAGCAACAACCAGCACTTTGGTTTGTGTAGAGAGTGCTGGTATACATTACATTAGGAGATCATAAAGGTTTAATGATGAGCTTTTCCCCTTACAGGCAATGGCCTTCATTTGACTGGACAGTCACAGTACAACAGTTCTTTTGTTACATAAATGAATTTATTTTCAGTTTTCCCTTCTCCTCTTAAAAAAATGCTTTTCTTTCCCTCTCCTCCCTTTCAGTGTAAAGATGGTACTGATGTGGACCAGTGGCGACACTTTCAAGACTGTATACTTCCTTCTCAACCAAGCTCCTTTCCAGTTCTCCATTTGTGGACTTCTCCAAGTCTTTGTGGATATGGCCATCCTGATGCAGGTTTACTTCTTCAGCTGCTACCCCCAGAAGCCAACTTCACACCCAACACACCCAGCCAGTACAAAGGCACTTTAAAGCACAAGGCGGAGGCGTCTATAAGTCACCTGTGTTTGGAAGCAGCCTTGCAGTTTCAGCTCTTAAATACTGCATTTCTGATGGGCTGGAAGAAGAAGAATATTATAACATGGGAAGAGTATCATACCTGGCATTACTTCTAATGATTGGTGTTCCTTGGGTTGCATGCCCACTGGAATGGATTTTTCTCTTTGGGGCTCCAGTGAGGGTTGTCCTTTTTGTATCTATGTACATAACTATGAGTCTTAATCACCTATATCTATATGTGTGTGCATGTATGTATGCACACAAGCATACTCGCAGAGGCTGGATATTAAGTGTTTTCAGTGCTATTTAACAAGAAAAGTCCAGCCGTAAGAATCAGAGAATATTTTGTCTGAACCTTTTATCTATTTATATAAAATTATATGGATAGAACTTTTGGAATATCTGTTAAATATTTTGGATACAATTGATGAAGGCAATGTATTAATCAAAAGCATAAATGTAAAACTGGTTTTTAAAATGGTGGGTGCAACTGATCGAAGATGGATGGGGTGGGGAAAGACTGGAGGTGGGAAATGGCGTAAAGAATCCTATTTTATCAGTTATAAACATATTGATAAGCACATACACATGCACACTGCTGGACCAGTGTGACCAGGAGATATAGTTCACAGTAGCTGGATGTGGTGGGTGGCGAAATGGAAAGTATAAATTAGATGTTCACTGGGTGATGGAAGGAAGGAAGGAAGGAAGGAAGAAGTCTTAGACAGCATCACTTGGTAGAGGTCTTGTTTCTGAAATAGCTGATGTCATTACACGGTTGAGGGAGAAATGTCTGGCAAATAGCGGCATTGTTAAAAGTAGGGTTCACGTCAGGAACTGTATGAAAGTGGCAAAGAGGGAAAGAAACTCAATTTGTAGCTTAGGCCTTACATACAATGCCAGTATATTTATATCAGATTAAAAAACAGCAAATGCATAGATAATGACTCCTCAGTATAGGCACAGTGAAATAACAGAGAGGCACTGGCTGCATTGGGAGTATTGTCAATATATGTGCACCTCAGACTATGGGAAACTACCTGGTTTTTCTCTGTTCTGAGAGAGCAGAAGAGCCTAGAAGGTGGCCATTCTGAGGAATCTATATGTAGAGCAGGTCTCTTCTTTTCCTAAAAAGAAAGCTGAACCTTGACATTTCTCTTTGTATTATTTAATGCCAAATCAGGCCATTTTGTGTTCTGTTGAGAAAATCGTTGCAGTAGGCAATTGCCGGAGCAGAGAATCATGGTACCTGTATTTTTGTGCCCTTTAATGTTACTTAATTTGGGGGGGAGATCCATGAGCCCTCCCTGAAAAGGTGAGAGCAAAGAAGCAGTAAGGGACTGCGTATGATTTGCATGTGGCGCACATTAGGGACAGGGAGGGTATGTGTGTAAAGCATGCTTGCCAATTTCAGACATTTGCATGTCTTTTCTGCGACTTTGGGCTTGGAAACTCAAGAACTACAGAGTTTTGTTTGATTTTGAAACTCTTTGGCTAGTTGCCAAGAGGAGAATGCTTTGACCTCATGAGATGCGAGGTGACTGTGCAGCTGTGTTCCACTTCAGGAACGGTTCCATCATCTTAAAATATATCTATGGTAGCCCAGAAATGTATATTCTTCGCTGTCATAGAAATTCTGCTACAGGACGGCAATTTAGGCCAGCCATAGATCTGTTAAATGGTGGCTTTTATTATGTGTCACTTTGTGCACCTGGACCTTTGATCTACAGAAAACCAGAAGTGTCCTCAGATGGACCTCCTCCCTGCCACCTGATGCATTTGGCTGTGCCAAATTCCTCCCTCTGCCAAAGAGACAGCAAAGTTTCATTGCTGCAATGCAATGAAAACCTATCAGGATTTTTTTGTTTTGAAGGAATTGTTTGCCTTCTGCGCTTAATACATTTGCTTTCCAAATGTTTCATTTGTCAAGTACGGAAAAACCTCAAACTGGCTGGGCTTTATGAAATCCTCCATGTCCGAGGGGCAAATATTGCCGATACGGCAGCTGGATAAGAAGCTGATCCGCCTGTCTTACAGCAAAGAGTGGGCTTCTCCCACCCAGCAGCAGCAAGTAATGGTTCTTTCCCTGCCAGTAACTGGCAAATGAACCAAATCTCAGGAAAGCTGCTTTATTGAGAGCTTGGTATGAAGCATTATGGTTGACCTTTGACTTTGTACTATTGGTTGGCTCCTTTGCTTAGTTCCTTATGCCTGAAGTGACCTTACCAAGCTGATGTTGTCTGGCATGGCAGAATATGAATGTTCCATTGCTTTCCTTTTGACATATGTTCTGGCTGTAGGAACATCTGGGCATTTGTTTTCTATATTATAGGTTTCCACCATGGTTCTGTTTCCCTGGTATGCTGCTGTAATGAGGACTTTATTTCTGGAAGATTTCTTACAATAGCTTGCAATGCTGGGCTTTATTTTTTTGTGAGAAGACCTCCCCCCCACCATTGTTCTTTGAAATGGGGGTGAGGAGTTAAGCCAGTGTGTACGTGTTTGCTTAGCCTGTAAAAGTGCATATCTTTGATGCCTCTGTGTAAAAAAGTATTATTCAAGGTAAAATAAATAGTATTCCGTCTCCCCCTTTCCCTTCCTTCTTCTAGGATGTTGTGTACAGGTTCTTACATGCTGTTGCTTATCCAGAATGCAAACTCTATGGATACATTTCCTTCACAGAAGAGCTGCAAATGCCAGATGAAAAGACAGTAGATTTGTGACGAAAGGTACTTTTAAAAAGTGGCATTTAAAAAGCTGGAGCATGTGGCAGTGAACTTCACTGAATTCTAGATTGCAAACTATTTAGAGGAAGAGTCAAATACTTCTTTTAAGACACATGCCATCTTGACCAACATAATTTAACTCCAGTGAGATCAGAGCTATCTAAGGTGCCTTTAGAATATTCCCACCGTCATGTGGGCAGTTTTGTATCCATCTCCTGTACATCAGGGAGAATGCTGAGATAACTCAGCTGTGCGACTGGGTCTGACTGCCAGGGCCTTTTTGACAGAGTTGGCATCCCCATTTTATTCAGTGGGAAAGACCCATGCAGTTAGCTCCTCTTCGTCATTTAAATGTTCTCCCAACCATGTGGAGCTGCTCTTGGACTAGTGGTTCCTGTGCTGCTGGAAGAATATCTAAAGGGCACCTCAGTGGCTAGAGAACAGATCCCTTTTAAAGTTACAGTTTTTTTATGTGCAAAAGGAATCTGTGTAACAGTGATCACCACAGTTTAGGTATCAATAAATTTAAATGCATCTCTGTTGAATGTATGGTATATTTTTATGATGGTCAAACGCTGTTTATCAGTTGCATTGATTTTTTTTAAAAAATAAATTGATTAATTATGCACATCTTTGCTTTTGTTCTTTCATTGTAAAATGGGAAGGAAGTATACTTGGGTGGGGGTTGAAAGGATTTTAGAATGTTAGAAGAAATCAGAGTTTGTTGCTTCTCTACAAAATTGTGGGCATCAGTGTATATACGTGTGTGTGTGTGTGTGTGTGTGTACAAGCTGCTGCATATTTACATACAAACCAGAATTTACCCTAAAGTTTCTAGGACAGTAACTCTTTAAATGTTAGGCCTCAATTTATGGCAGTATTAGAGAGGAACAACAGAATCTTGGCATCTTAAACAGTATCATGCCTCCCCCCGCACTGTCTCATTCTGTTCAGAACATCAGAGTTATTACTTAATCATTTACATAGCACATTTAAAATCTGGTATTTTAAATGTGCCTTTTCCATATGGATAGTTGAAGCCGAGTTGTTTGGCCAAGGCACTGTGTAGAGAATCATGGTGCAGCAACGCTTTGAACCAAGGTCGAAAATCTCTTTCATTGAACCACATCAGCTCTCACGTTAATTCAAGTAGATAATTTGCCATCATTTGGTAAGAGAAACTAATTCTTATTAGGTACATTCTGATAAATAAATGTAGTCTGCTTGTTTATGTTGTGGAGGAAAGAAATGCTCCATCACTGTTCTTCTTTTCTCCATCATTTGTATAATAAATGTGTTATTAATTTGAGATATCCTACACTGTCTCAGAACAGCAATTCTTTTGAAATGCATTTCTGTCTCCAAAGGATGTACAGTCTAAATAAACAGATAATGATTTTAATATAAAAGGGCTCAATCCCAGGTTTGGGGATGATGCAGTGTTTTGGAGGTCTGTCCAAAAGGTAGATGGAACTTCACTCCTAAGTCCTGGAACACCATTCTTCTTGAGCAGTGGCACTTATTGATAGTGGAATCCTTCAAAGATTGGGGGGGGGGGGCTGGATGGGGACAGAGGCCAGCCCCAACTGTGGAACTGTGGGAAGGTAGTTGGTTCTTCACTACCCACTCCTGAATGTCCCTGTTCAACACATGCATCTTGATTCAGAGAAAGTTAGTCATACTTGAGGCCTCTTGAAATCGGTAGGCCACACTATCTTTCTCAGAACTCAGCAACAAAAAAGGCATATAAAATTATTTCACTTGGTTCAGCTTGGAAAAGCCTGCAGATGTTTCATTTTAACAGCTTCCACCAGCCTCTTGGAGTAGAACAAATATGTGAGAATGCTACTGCAGTAAAAAAAAGGGGGAGGAAGCTTCTACTGTGCTGCAAAGGCTAAATCTCTGGCAACTGAAGCCTGGTTTGAATCCTCGTTTGCACTCAAGGACTTGAATCCCTCTGCAGTCCCTAGCTAATTTATTTGTTGCTAAGGTCTAAAATCTGAGCCCGTCCTAGTCTCTGTATGAGAATTTGCTCTCCAAAGGGCTGATAATCTAAAGATCCAAGAGGTTCAGTACAAAATCAGCTGGTAAACCACGCTGGCCTGTTGTTTAATTTCCCTTGACTTTTGCCAAGTGACAGCGTATTGCCTTTAATCCGGCCAACAATTTTTTGGGGTGTAAAATAGGAAAATGACATTTCATTTATCTAGGATAGCAAATGCAGCCGAGACAGTTCTGCTTGTGCTAGCTGCTATTATCTAAGGCTCCCACTGGCATAGTAGTAAATGGATTAAAGTGGCAGCTGCTGCTATTTTACTGTGAAAATTACAATATTTTATTAGATTTCTCCAGCAGCAAGAGCCTTGTGGAAGCACAAAAATAAGGCCTAGAGTTACCTGAAAGATGAAAAGGGTGGATGGCAATCCTTCCAGAGCTAAAAGCAAGGAAAGATTGTTGCTCCAAGAAATAATTATACCCTGAGTGAATTTCAAGAGGAGACAGCATTGTATAATGACATATACAGATGGATGGTCAAAGTTAATG